TCAGAAGAATACCTGGCTACAGTACACGTCAGTTGAGCGCTGTCGCTCTGCGGCACTTGTTAAATCTCGCCTTCACGACAGGTCTACACTCGATGGCAGAGCGGCCAATCCGCCGCGCAGCCATCGCCAGACACGAAACTACATCGCAAAGAAGCGGAGACACCCGACAGGGATGTGGAGAGACCTGACAGGGATGTGGAGAGACCCGGCGGGGATGGCGACGAAGCGGGCGGGCGCGTCGTCTACGAGGGTGTCATCTCTCCGATCGTCCGTCGCGTCAAGATCCTCTCTCTGACCACGAGCGCCGCAGCCCTCGCCCTCCAGCCCGCGCTCCTCCCCTCCGTGCTGTCGTCCGGCGGCGGCGCGGCGGCGACCGCGGCGTACGCGACGTTCTGCGTGGGGTTCGTGTTCGCGAGTCCGCTGCTGATCCACGCGCTGGCGCGGCGCTACGTGACGCGGCTGCGATACGACGCCGCGCGGCGCACGTTCCGCGCGACGACCTTCAGCGTGTTCGCGCGCGAGCGCGACACGTCGTTCTCGGCCGACGCCGCGCGGTTCCCGGCCGCCGCCGGGTTGTTCACGACGTTCCTCGTCGACGGGCGGCCGTTCTTCGTCGACTCGCGCATGTTCCGGGACGACGCGGCGTACGCGGCTCTCATGGGGTACGACAAGCCGCTGGACATCAGCTTCGACTGCGAAGACAACGATGAACGGGAGGAGGGGGAGAAGGGCGAGAGCGAGAGAGAGGAGGAGAGCGAGAAGAAACGCGGAGGAGGAGGAGGAGGAGCGGGAAAGAAGGAAACGTGATTCGCGACGGTCGTTCGCGAAGGCGCGAGTTGGCATCGGTTCGCGTGAACGATGAACGAAGAACGTAAGAAAGTAAGGAGGTTCGCACTAGGTTGTTCATTGAGGAGCGAGTCTGGTGCGAGAGGCTTCATCGTTCATGTCCACTCTGGGGTTGGCGTCGACGACAATGACGAGAACACGAGAGAGTAAGGAACGTGGCGGCGGAAAACGGCAAGACTACGACGTGATCTACATCGGTTGTTCGCTAAGGAACAATCTGCGGTGCCGGAGTTGCCACGTGTTGTTCGTGTGGCGTTGGCAGAGACGACGACGAGAGCAGGAGAAAAAGAACACCACGATGAAGAAGATGGATAATAGACGCTGCTCGTTGTTCATTAAGGAACAAATTGGGACGGTTCATGCGCACAACAACGAGTGGGGAACAACAACAACAACGAACGTTGGGAGGACTCTGTTATTTGTACTGTCACCGATACTAAAGCCCACATGGAATGAAAATTAAAAGAAGCGCACGTGTTCACATCACTAATTAATGTGTTGTTCACTTCATGCGGGGTTTAAGTTAAGAGGGAAGAGTGAGTTAGTGTGGTGCAGTCATGGCAAATGCATCTTCGTTTACGCGTGGTGCAGTGACCTGTGATGCCAACACCACCGACTCGTTAGGGATTTTTAAGCTTTGATGTGTAATTAAGCACAGTTGTTGTTACGTGCCTAACGAAGGTGCTTAGTGTTAGTGAAGTTTCAATGAAAATAAAAGCGCATTGCTAATGCATTAGAAATGCGTATAACATACATGTTTTATTAACTCGCCTCACAGTTGTTTCAGCAGTATCACATTTCGAAGCAGTATCCAGGTTAATTAATAAACATGTAAAGCAACAAATAGCAACGTATAATCAAGGCTAATCAACGATATTGCATGAGTAATTAAACAGAGAGACCCAGGCATTCTGCCTTTTCCAAATTTGGCATCCAACGACCAACTGATCGTTGAATACCGTACAGTTATCGCAAAACACGTCAAATAAAATTTGCCAACACAACGAGAAGTTACGCGCGCAAAGATCGTTTTCTACCGACTTTCGCGACGTTGATCAGTGATGAATGAACGGTATCAAATACGATCGACAATGAAACAAAACAAAAACAAATGCATTCTCATCTTCAAGCGGTACCGGTAGTCCGCGTAATTATTTCTCCGCCTAACAACCGACATAGCTATAATTATATATTATTAATTAATAATTATAACTATAATTATACTACTATAACTATAATTATAACTATAATTATACTACTATAACGCATATTTGAAAGTTGAACAATAATAAATCAACGGTATAGACCGGGCGCAGCGTGTGCGATCACCGTGGCAACAGACCACAACACAGTTTCACTTCAAACAGTAGCGCGTTGAGCGAGCGAGCGACCACTAGATGGCACTTATGACATGCAGGTGGACCATATTAGGTGGCAGCTTCTCCACCAGGAGGCGCAGCAGGCGGCGCGCGTCGCGCAGGCTGCCGTCACCACTAGGTGGCGCTCAGCACGTGCAGGTAGGCGACGTTCGGAAACAGCTTCTCCACCAGGAGGCGCAGCAGGCGCCGCACGTCGCGCAGGCTGCCGTCACCACTAGGTGGCGCTCAGCACGTGCAGGTAGGCGACGTTCGGAAACAGCTTCTCCACCAGGAGGCGCAGCAGGCGCCGCACGTCGCGCAGGCTGTGGGCGGGGTCGGCGACGAACTCGCACATCTCGGCGGCGTCGCCGCGGTAACCGGCGTACGCGCGATTTCGCTCGATCGCGCCCAGCTGCGCGAAGAGCTGCTGCGTCGCCTCCGTCGCAGGCGGCCCGGTGGCGCCCTCTTGCAGATGTCCCGGCGCGTGCGGCTCGAGGCGGAGGCACGACGACTGCGGCATCTGCGCGGAGAGGAACGTCGCCATGACGCGGCAGAGGAAGCGGAACCTGCGGAGGTCAAAGGTCAAACGTAGAGGTAGCGGTAGCGGCGCACGACATCGGGGGGGGG